GGGTGTAGGCCCGAAACGTCAGCCTTCCTGCTCCTATGATGCTGCTTGGCCTGCTGTGTTCATCCAGCTCTACGCCTTGTTGTCTCAGATTCTCCAGCATCTGCAGTTCCTACTATCTCTGATACCCTTTAACATTTAATGGCACTATCATTGCTGAATCTTCAACTATCAACGTTGTTGGGATTACCATTGATCGGAAACTAAATTGAACCAACTATATAAATACAGTGGCTACAAAAGTCAAAGGCTAGAAATTCTGTAATGAGCAACTCACCTATCTCCGACTTACCTGGATGAGTGCAGCTCCAACAACAGAGCTTAGATCTGATCCACTAGCTATGGGATAGTTTAGCTCTGTCTATTACTTGCTGTCTGGTACGCAAGTAGTCCTGTGTGATAGCTTCTTCAACTTGACAACGCATTTTAGGTATGCCTGGTGCTGCTGCTGGCATACCCTCCTGCACTCTTCATGGAACACTACCATCTACAAGTTCCCTTCAAGTCACTTGCCACCTTGACTTCAATCTATAATCACTGTCTTCACTGTCACTGGATTAAAATTCCAGAACCCCCAGCACTATAGGTGTCCCTAAGTCCCAAAGATTGCATTAGTTCAAGCTTGCCGTCACCTTCAGGATATTTAGAGATGAGTAATTAGTGCTGCTTAGTCAGCGATACCCAAATCTCTAACAAACGAGGACTAAAGGCAGGTTAAAGGTAATAGTTACAAAGATTTCCAGGCCAGTGATGCCCAATATTTCTTTAGGAAAAACAGAAGGGTCTGCTCTTCCATAATGTAAGCTGACCTTGAGCTATTCTGATATAATGAATAGTTGTCCCATGTCCATTTGCAAGACGTTTCAACTAAGTGACTGACACAGTAAATTACCTACCTTTCGAAATAAGTCATATCAACCAGTAGCCCGAGTCAAGAGGCAGGCTCGCCAGGCAGCCGTCTCCTTCAGATGTGAGATGGTCCAAAACAGGAGGAGTAAGCCCAAGGGAAGATTTCCCTAACACTGCCTTCATAACTTTAATGAAATTGATACACGTTGTGGAACTGCCAGTTCATCCTCTGAGATCAGCGAACCTTACTCTTTTTTTTGTGTAATTAACTAAGGTATCATGTAAAAACTGCTGCTTCTTAACAAACCTAAGTTATCTAAAAGTTCTTTGCTAATAAGCACTTGCCTATATTAGGTAACTGTGGTCTTAAATCTCAGAATCTTTCAGTAAGCACCTTATATGTCATTAAAGCAAATTTCAGACATGAAGACTGGTATTCTTGATATTTATTGCTCCAAACAGAATAATGAAAAAAATCAGGAGATTTTCTTGTAACACCTAGATGGTTGTAGTGGTGTCTGTGGCTGACTCGAGCTTAAATGTAGTGATTAAAATTTTCTTCTGGGCGTCCATTATTAAGATATGTATGTTTTTTAATTGACACCCAGGTGGTGTACATATGATTGAAGCCGATATTCTTATTGGGAGCCATGGATCACATAAAGGAGAGCCAATCATGGCACATCCTCCTGAAACTGACAGTGACAACACATTGCATAATTGGCTGAGTGAAGTACAGCAATCGGACAAGGGGATCAAGTTGGATTTTAAGAGGTACAACCGCTATGATGTTTATTATGTTTAAAAACAATTTTTGATGATCTGTCATTTCACTGTTTTTATCGAATTTAGCAGAATACAGCCTTGAAAAACTATTTTTACTCAAGGTGACGTTGAGGTATATTTATATTCAATGTCCTTGTTTAATATAATTTGCTCAAACCTAATTTAAGAAAAAATGAACTTTCTATTCAGGAATAATTTTACCAATAAACAAAAAAGGGGCAAAAATATCAACTCAGGATGTTTAAGTTTAGGCCAATATAGAGAACACAGCCTTTTCTGCATTTATAGTCCATTTGTGATTGCCTACTTGCAGTCAGCATTCCCTCTAATTTCCTTAGCACCTGAGCTGCATGGCATCACCTTCCAAAATTGATAAATCAATGCCACAATTGGCGTGCTGAAGCCCATAACCGTGCATGGAACATTAGAGTGGCTGCAAGCATGCTGCTTAGAGGGAACTTTGCTTGCAGGAAGTCCTTATTTTCCATACTATTCTCATTCCATGGTATAATTGAGTTCTGAAGTGAACTTTAAAAATAGATCAGCTGATGCCCAGTGGCATTGCTTACTAGTAGTACAATTATAGCTGTCCTCAAAACAAGATAAGAAAGCTGTCTGTGGTTACATCCACCAATTCATAATTGTCTCCACTAAGAGAAAATTGAACCATCTCCACTTGACCGTTAATAACAATACCATGATCAACATCCTGAAGATCGCCACTGACTGGAAACTTAATAGTGGCTAAAAGAGCAGATTGGAACTGGAAGTTCTGCTGTGGGTATCTTGCTTCCTGATTCCCCAGAGCTTCTCTTCAGGAGTGTTGTTCCAATACACCAAAAAGAAGCTGTACACCATTACAGGGCAAAGGTGCATTCTTGATTGGCACCCCATCTACTAACATTATACCATGACAGCATTGGGTACCATCTTCAAGATGCACTAGAGCAACTCATTAAGCATCCTTTGACAGTGTCTAACCTGTGACCTCTACTAAAAACACCAGGTTCATGGAATATCACCACCTGCAAGTTTCCCTCCAAGTCATGCATCACCCTGACATTGAAATATATCTCCATTCCTTCACTGTCACTAGGTCAAAGTCCTAGAACATCCTCCATAACAGCACTGTGACTGAACCTACCATGGACTTTGGTGGCTCAGTGCTATCACCTCAGGCTAAAAAGGATAACAATCTCTAATACCTCTCTCACCTTCCTGGACCTCTCTGTCTCCATCTCGGGCAACCACCTAGAAACCGATATCCATTTCAAGCCCACCGACTCCCACAGCTATCTAGAATACACCTTCTCTCACCCACCTTCCTGCAAAAATGCCATCCCCTATTCCCAATTCCTTCGCCTCCGCCGCATCTGCTCCCAGGATGAGGCATTCCAAACCCGTACATCTCAGATGTCCTCGTTTTTCAAGGACCACAACTTCTCCCCCCCCGCCCCACCTCAGTGGTCGAGAACGCCCTCCACCGTGTTTCCCGCAACTCATCCCTCACACCCCGTCCCCGCAATAACAACCAAAAAAGAATCCCCCTCGTCCTCACGTACCACCCCACCAACCTCTGGATCCAACGCATCATCCTCCGACACTTTCGCCATCTGCAATCCAACCCCACCGCCAAAGATATTTTTCCCTCCCCACCCTTATCTGCTTTCCGGAGGGACCACTCTCTCCATGACTCCCTTGTCTGCTCCACACTCCCCTCCAGCCCCACCACACCCGGCACTTTTCCCTGCAACTGCACGAAGTGCTACACCTGCCCCCACACCTCCTCCCTCACCCCCATCCCAGGCCCCAAGAAGACTTTCCACATCAAGCAGATGTTCACCTGCACATCTGCTAATGTGGTATACTGCATCTGCTGTACCCGTTGTGGCCTCCTCTACATCAGGGAAACCAAGCGGAGGCTTGGGGACTGGTTTGCAGAACACTTACGCTCAGTTTGCAATAAACAACTGCACCTCCCAGTCGCGAACCATTTCAACTCCCCCTCCCATTCCTCAGACGACATGTCCATCCTGGGCCTCCTGCAGTACCACAACGATGCCACCCGAAGGTTGCAGGAACAGCAACTCATATTCCGCTTGGGAACCCTGCAGCCCAGTGGTATCAATGTGGATTTCGCAAGCTTCAAAATCTCCCCTCCCCCTACCGCATCCCAAAACCAGCCCAGCTCGTCCCCGCCTCCCTAACCTGTTCTTCCTCCCACCTATCCCCTCCTCCCACCTCAAGCCGCACCCCCATCTCCTACCTACTAACCTCATCTCGCCCCCTTGACCTGTCCATCCTCCCTGGACTGACCTGTCTCCTCCCTAGCTCCCCACCTACACTCACCTTTACTGGCTCCATCCCCGCCTCTTTGACCTGTCTGTTTCCTCTCCACCTATCTTCTCCTCTATCCATCGTCTATCCGCCTTCCCCCCTCCCTATTTATTTCAGAACCCCCTTCCCCTCCCCCATTTCTGATGAAGGGTCTAGGCCCAAAACGTCAGCCTTCCTGCTCCTATGATGCTGCTTGGCCTGCTGTGTTCATCCAGCTCTACACCTTGTTATCTCAACAATTGACATTAACTTTGCCAGTAATACTTGTCGTGACAAATAAAAAGAGTAGTATGTACATATCCTGAGCTCATTTGGAGAAATTATTTTTCAAGAGTTTTCCAGATTTATAGTTGCCTAATTCCTTTCATTATGTCAGAAAGGTATATTCTTCTCCATTTTATCCCCTAGAAGAAACCATAGGCAATATGTATTGTGTCAGAGTTTGTGGCATTACTGTGAGGTGGAATTCCTTCGTATTAAAATTATATCCTGTGTCATTGTCAGTTTGTCAGCTGTGGAACCTGCTATGAAAATGTTAGTATCAATGAAGGATCTTCTCACACGACCGGTTTGGATCAATGCAGATATTCTTCCCGGACCAAATGAAAGCAAAGATTTTTTATGCATAGTAACTTCATACTTGCCACATGTAACGCTGTCTCTTGGTTGGAAAACTGATGAGTTGGTTAACCAAACAAATATTGGTAAGGATTGTCAAATGTTATGAAAAGTAATTTCGCACATTATTATCAAGCATATATACTTGCTTTATCAGCTTTTTTTTAGATATGGCTATCACAAATGTAATATAGAGCAAGGATTTCAGATAAATCACGCAAATTGCTGGAGAAACTCAGCAGGTCTGGCAGCGTCTGTGGAGAAAAAGCAGAGTCAGCTTTGCAGGTCCAGTGATCTTTGTTCAAGGTGACCTGAAATGTTGACTCTGCTTTCTTTCCACAGATACTGCCAGACCTAAGTTTCTCCAGCAATTTCTGTTTTTGTTTCAGATTTCCAGTATCTGCAGTTTTTGTTTTGCTTCAGTTAAATTAGTTCATTGAGAGTGTTCTAGGTAATTGTATGATTATTGTTAATCCCTGAGCTTTCAATAATGTTGTCAGCTTTATATTGTTATTTGAATATTCTTGTCATTGGCTAAAATGGTCATACTTACTGCATTTTCATATTTGAATCTTTAAAATCCACTGCTACTACTTGCTCTTAAACTTCTCTGAAAATTGACTACATATTTGATCCTGTTTCTCCCTGACTATTTGAAAACCCAATGGTGTGTTTTCACCTTTTGTAATTTTAACTTCTATCTAGTTTGATGATCCTTCCAAGATGTCATTCCTCCCCACTACTATACTCTGATGCTGCTTGGCCTCATGTGTTCATCCAGCTCTACACGTTGTTATTCTCTACTATAAATTGATTCCTTGATTTCTGGGACACTTGGACTGGCTGTGGGGAAGTTGGCCCCCGTACATGCTGAGCAGGTTGCAGTTAAATAGAGCTGGGACTGAGTTCTATGTGGGGTGTTTTGCTGGCGCCATTGGGAGTGCTTTAAATTAACTTGGCAGGGGTGTGGGAACCAAAAAAGAATAGTCAAGAAGAATACCTGGGCTCCCTAAATACTTAGACACACAGCTGGTCCTAGCATGGAGAATAGTAAGTTATTAGGTGAAGTGGAATAGGAGAGAAAGAATGTAAGACCGAAACAGAGTTAATGTGCTTATAAGTAAATGCATGGAGTATACTAAATAAGGTTGAGGAGTTGCTGACACAAATTGCAACTTTGAAAATGATGATCTTGTGTCAGCGCTTGGAAATGTGACTCAAGGAAGGGCAAGACCAGGTATTCCTGGGTATAGGTTGTTCAGGAAAGATAGAAAAGGAAGGAAGGGCGAAGGCTAGCAGTATTGGTTAAGGAAACATTGCAGTGCTGGAGAAAGAAGATACCTGAGGATTCCAGACAGAGTCAATTTTGGAATAAAGCTATGGAATAAAGATAGTGTAATTACATTGCATGATTAAGTCCATAGATCACCAACTAGTGGAAAGGATATAGAGAAATAAATCTGCAGGGAAATTACAGAAGTGCCAGCATTATAGGGTTGTTATAACGAGTAACTTCAATTACCCAAATATAAACTGGGATACTCATTATGAAATGGGCAGCGAGGGGCTAGTGATCCTAGATTGCATTCAGGAGAGCTTTGTACACCAGTATGTGTTCAGTCCATCTGGGAAGCACGCATTGTTTAACTTGGTTTTTGGAAATGAGGTGGACTGAGTGTCAGTGGGTGAATATTTAGGAGACCACAGTTATTGTATCGTAAGGTTCAAAATGGTTTTGGAGAACAAATTGCATCAATCCAAAGTAAGAAAAAATCAATATGCAGAGAGCTGACTATAATGAAGCACGAACAGAGTTGAGCAAGATTGATTTGGGTAAGAGGTTGGCAAGAAAAACAATAATTGAACAATGGCCCATTTTAGGAGCATTTTTCCCAAGCAGGGACAAAGACTCAGGAGGCAGGCAGGATTCAGGCAAGTGGAAGATGTTTATTTAAACAGAAACTGATTTACGCAGGGAGAGGACCAAAGGATCTTCTCCAAATCTGGCTTTGGAGCATTTTTATACATCTTGTGTTCCAGTAATCAAACACAACGTATTCGCTGTCCTTCCCCTTAATCCAACCACCCAGTCATGTGGGACATCTAATCAATGATGGGTACATCTGTGGACCGCCCATGATCTTATGGTGTTAGCTAGACATTGTCATCCCTAGGCCTTGCGATCTTTCTCTGCATCCTGTTCATTCGCATTCCAAACGTTTAATGGCTATACTCCTTTGGGTCTTTCTCAGGGTTGTTTCTCTGAAAAGACAACTCGAATTCTATTACCCATTGCATTTTGGTGCTGTCTTTTATCAAATTGAGTTACTCTTATTTTCCTACTGTCCCAGTTACATTATATAAAAAAAGTCAGTTAGTTTTAACTAATTGCTATAAAGTTAACTTCTGTTATAAGTTAAAGTGTAACATTATACAACTGCATCTACTGTTAGCATTTTGTAATTTATGGGTTGTAAGCAATCTATCTTGTTCGGGGCATAAGAGAAGGCATCTCTCAAGGCTTGTTAACCTTCTCATCTAAGCTTAATTTTTTTTTAAGGCTTGTATTATATTCTGATTATGTATTGAGACCAACTTCTATGATTAGAGCATTTTTAGCTAGAAACTATTTAATATTGCAGGTAGCTTCAAAGAGGCAACTATTTAATATGAAATAACTCCAGCTGCTATCGTTGCAGTGGCTTGAGGACTTAATCCAGCACCTGATGATATTCATTTACTGGGACAATCATCCTTTCATTAATAAAGCTGGAATTGGTCATTTATCTGTCCTAAGGCATCCTTTTATCAGAACTGTCTCGGATGGGAGCATACAGCATTCTTTTACTGACCTTCTAGCAGTTCTGTTCAAAGGTACCATTGTATTTCACTGTGTGAACAGGCTGCCGTCTTGTGAACAGGCATTGGCTGCTTAATGTAGTCAGGTACAGGCCGCCCCTACAACCATCTTCAAAGAGAAGATGGTTTGGATACAGTTGAGCTATATTCTCTCGAATGGAAAAGGTAGGACAAACAAATCTAGAGTTCCCTGGATGACAGCTGAAGTAGAAGTTAACATTTGAAAGAAAACATATGTTTATCATGTGTGTAAGGCAGAAAATACAATTGAAAGTCAACAGGAATGCTGAAAGCTTAGTGGGTAGGTGAAAAAGTAAATAATAGCAAAGAGAAACAATGAGAAAAGATGAGCAGCTAATATATGGGAAAATCTCAAAATCTTCTACAGGCATATCAGCAGTCAGAGAGTGGCTCAAGGAGGAGTAAGGCCATTCGGACACCAACATGGGGATTTACAGATGGAGGCAGGGGGCATAGCTGTGGTTTAAATGACTACTGTGCATTCATTTTTATAAAATGCACCCCAGGCCATTGTGACAGAGTGGCCATTGTGTCACTAGAAGGGTTCACAATTAAAAAAGAAGTAGCCATGGATGGATTATTAGCAATCAAAGTTGACAAGGCACTTGTCAAGATGCATCCAAGGATTTTGGAGGAAGTGAGTGTGGAAATTACAGGTGCACTGGCCATAATCTTTCAGCCTTGTCTGGACTCAGTGAAAGCCCAAGAAGACGGGAGAATTGCAAACATTACTTGTTCAAGCAAGTTTGTAAGAATAATCCCAGCAATTACAGACAAGTTAGTTTAGCAAAAGGTAGAGTTGAAACTTCTAGAGCCAATTATTCGGGATAGAATGTGTAACAACAAAGACAAGAGTGGGTTAATTCAGAGGAGGCTAGGAGGAGAGTTGAGGAGAAATGTTTTCACCTGATGGGGGCTGAGAGTCAACTGCCTACAGGGTGGTTTGGTCAGGAACTCTGGTAACATTTAAGCAGTATGTAAATATTTGTTTGCCTTGCTATAGTATCCAGCACAATGGTCCAAGAGCTGGAAAATGGGTTTAATGTAGTCAGGCTTTTGTTAACTAATGCAGACATGTTGAGCTGAATGGCCTCCTGTGCTGTAAATGTCTATGGATTGTCCATTGTCCTTTTCTAATGTCATCCTAAACCTTATGATACAATGATCATCATGCTCTAAAAGTTTCCCTGCTGTCACTTGATATGATTAGCCTACCTCATTCCTAGGGACCAGGACTAACACTCCTCCTTTATAGTTGGTGTCAGCACAGGAGAGGATTTGACTTCTTGTGAAGTATGCAAACCGGTCAGGACATTGAGTATAGGAATTGGGATGTCATTTTGCAACTATATAGGACATTGGTCAAGCCACTTTTAGACTACTGCATAAAATTCTGGTTGCTTTTTTGTAGGAAAGATGTTAAACTTGAGAGTGCAGAAAAGATTTACAAGGCTGTTGCTGGGACTAGAAGGTTTGTCATGTTGGGAAAGGCTGAATAGGCTGGGGCTTTATTCCCTGGAACGTCGGAGGCTTGAGGGGTGACTTCATAGAAGTTTATAAAATCATGAGAGCCAATGGATAGGGCGAATAGCCGAGTTTTTTTTTACTAGGGTGGGGGAGACAAACACTAGAGGGCATAGGTTTAAGGTGACGGGGAAAGATTTAAAAAAAACCTGAGAAGTATTTCTTTCATGCAGAGGGTGATGCTTTTAAGAAATGGGCTGTCAGAGTAAGTGATGGAGGTGCTACAATTACAACATTTAATAGGTATCTGGGTGGGTATATTTAAAGGAAGGGTTTGAGGGATCTGGGCCAAATGCTGGCAAATAGGTCAGATTGGGATATCTGGTCGGTGCAGACGAGTTAGACTAAAGGATCTGACTCTGTGTCAGCAATGTTTCTTTGCTGAAATTACAGGATTGACTGATATGAAGTGCCTTTGTTTTGACACTGACCCAAAGCAAGTAGGACTGTGAACTCCTAGGATGGGGATGATCAGGGTCAATAACATGTGTGCGTTTGTCCCCATGTATGCTGTGGTACTTAATTTCCAGTCGTTTCAGCTTTCCTAGCCATTGTTCAAAGACTTTGCTGTGCAGACCCACCTGACGTTAAAAGAACCCACGCATGCTTATAGGCAGTTCCAGTAACCACAGAGCTAAATATTGCACTGGTATCATAGTTCCTGAGTTGCGACATTGACATT